GTGTCACAAAATAAAAGTAAAAGGGAAATTATATAATCATTTAAGTATTATCCTTTGGTACTAGGATAAACACGACATGGAAGATGCCGAATAGTATTAACCGTAGACATCCGTCGATGTGCATTTTCCCTCTGTAGCTAACAGCTGGGTGTAGAATGGTTAGTCCCGTACATATATAATAGTATCTACACATATAATATGTAAATGTACCTCATCATATAGTATCTATGTAATAGTATCCATGTAGAAGTATCTATGTACAAGTATCCATGTAATAGTATCTCTTCATATTGATGTATTAGTATCTCTTCATATTGATGTATTAGTATCTCTTCATATTGATGTATTAGTATCTCTTCATATTGATGTATTAGTATAGACTCATGAATGAACTGACTCTGGTGTAATTCTTGTAGTAGGAATAATGTTTTGTATCCCCTAAACTATACCTATAATAGTTTACTGGAATGTAAGTTGAGTGTCCAAGTAGGTTTATACACCTTTGCTACCCAAGAGTGTTGGAACTGAATGAAGAATGAAAGCTCTCATATCAATACATATATACATGAAACATAAGTGTATAGATATGGTTTAAACAATAAGTTGAAAAAGGTTTTGTAAAACATTTAAGAGTTTTGAACAATAATAATGATGACTTGATGTCATTTTATAAAACCGTTCAAAAGTAATTCATTTGATAACAAACTATAACAGGACTGAAAACCATTGTGTTTATCACATTTTGAAGTATGTGAAATCAGTTGGTTGAAAACACAGTTATAAATCACATGTGATTGATTCTATAACATGTTGTTTTCTACTTGTATCCCCCCCCCCCATTAAAGCATTTAAAATCATTTAAAGGATTGATTAAGGGGTATGAACTCACTTGTAGTGGGTGGTTGTGGATGAACTGAATGATGTAGGATCCTAAGTGTCAAGTGAAGTCTTGTACACACACAATGATCCTAGTTAACATATAATCACATATATGTATCCAATTAGTCATAAAATAACTAATTAACCAAGATTAAGACATCCTAAGACATGTAAAACACTTGATCTAAGTGCTATAAGTCATAAGGATTGCATCTAAGGGTGGTAGGACCTTGCTATTGAGTTTGGGGTTCAAGGGTAAACTTCCTTGGAGTTTACGGTTTTGTGACCATAACTCCTTGAGTTTACGGTCGTAAACCCATGAGTTTACGGTCGTAAACTCATGTTTCTTTGACCATTTGTTGTTTTGAAGCTCTACAAGTCCATAGAAGCATTTCCACTTGAAGTATAAGCCTATGGAAGTGATTAGGGCACCATTTCACTCCTAAATGGAGTTTACGGTCCTTGGACCATTTCCCTTTGGGTTTACGGCCGTAAACCCATATGGTTTTGGTCTTTTGATTGTTTTGAGTCCCAAGCATAATGAGGAAAGGATCTATGCAAGTTTCCAAGGCTTAGAAGGGACTAGGGCACACTTTGGCACCCTTTTTAGGGTTTACGTTATAGAACACCTTGGACCGTAAACACCTTGATCTTGTGTTTCCTTGGTGATTTCTTGATGTTTAGAAGTGTAACAAGCCTTATACTACTCTAGGATAGAAGTACTTACTAGTTAGAAGCTTGAAAAGGTGCTAAAAGTCCAAGAACACTAGTGTGTGTTCTTGGTGTTCTTGGTGAAACTTGAAGATCTAACTTTGGAATGATTTCACGGATGGATCACATGTTAGATCACTAGATTAAGGTAGATATCAACTTATTAGGGCTAGAAACACTTACAAGTTGAAGATCTAGAAGGAAAACTCGGATGCTACTTGAGAGGATTTGAGTTTTGTTCTTGAAAAGTGAAAAAGTGAATAAAATGGCTAAGTGCCATATATATACTCTTGGGGTTTACGGCCGTAAACACCAAGTTTAGGCCGTAAACTCCAAACTTTTGAAGTTTTGGGACTTTATTGTTGCACAATAAACCCTAATGCATCCTCTCTCCTGTTATCTCCTGAAGTACTAATCTATAAACCCTCAAACTTATTCCTAAAAGCTTGAAAGTTAGCAGAAACAGTTCTGACTTCTATTGAAGTGAATGGTTGTACAGAATAGAAATTTCGGGTTGTCACACAAATGATTTTTGTGTTGTTTTTGCTTCACACAATCATAAAAACATTTCCTCCAACATGGTAGTGAAAGCATTTGACTCCTCTTGGATTTGGTGACTTTTTGGTTCTTAATGCTAGTTGACTTTCACTAATTACATGCTTAATGGAAATTGTGACTTTGACTAAGGAAATTGTTATGAGCTTCTCTAACCATTTTAACAACTAAGAAAAGTTTAAGTAATCTCAAGCTTCTTGGATTACTATAGCCAAATTAAGGATTTAAATCAAGTATTGCACCATTGAATTCTAATGATATGTTCATCAAAAGTCAAAGTGAGGAAACCTTAAGTCAACCATCCTTCCCTTATTGATTCTACATCAAAATCTTATTTTTGTTGAAAATGTCTATTTAAAACTTAGTTTAATTCTAGTTTATTTCAAGTATTTCAAAAAACCAAATCCCCCATTTTTAATTTATTGTCATTTTACAAGTATTTTTACAAAGAGATTTTTCATAGAGTTATAAAATTGAACCAATCTCCGTGGATTCGATCCCTTTACCACTATACACTATTTTAGTGTGTAATATTTAGGGTTATTAATTTTGTTGGCCTCGACAACCACCAAATGGATCCCTACACGACGAGTTGGAGCTCCCCAACTCGTCGAGTTCCAACCCAAAACTCTAAAAATGTTGAGGACTAAATAATACATGGACCAAGCGTTACAATTTTGGCCTAAACCTCTATGGAAGCATATGAACGAAATTCTAAACCCTTAGGGTTTATATAGGAGTCTAGGAAAGTGTTGGATAAGACAGGTATCTCCAAGATAAGTCTAATCCCTTAAATTCCTCCCTAAGGCATCCAATGCACTCTTAGAGCCCAATGACACCCTAGATTCCCCCCCCCCCCCCCCCCTTATGGGAGGTTCTAGAATTGTTCAATGTTCAACTAGTGAACATTGTCACCTTTAGTCCTCCTACTTTTAATTAATCCAATTAATCCCAAAATTAATTCTAATTAATTATTGATTAATTATTAATTAAATAATACTATTCCCAATTAATATATTATTTTCATAATACATTAACAAATCATTTATTTGATTTCTAATTAATTTATTAACCATATAATAAATTATTAAATCATTTTTCTCTCTCTAAAATATATCATATTCAATTGCTAGGTTCGAGGACAACCCAAAAGAACTGTGTTACTATCAATTCAAGTTTATATCAATTATAGTTATGGGCTTAGACACCTAATCCAACAGTTTTTTGACTTTTTTATTATGAAAGCTTGAATTTAAAAGTGGTTAAGGACGTGAAAAAAAAAAGAGAAACGGTTGTTAAAACCACCTTTAAATGTATATTACAATAACACTCTCCCATGTAAACTTATTATCTTTAATTTATTGCTAATAAATTTAATTTCTAAAATACATGGGTTCGATTTTTATAAGATAAAATTTGTTTTTGCATTTTCGTAGAATATTTATGTTTTCGCATGAACCTACTTGTGTGTGTGTGTGTGTGTGTGTGTGTCTATATATATATTATATACTATATATATATATATATATATATATATATATATATATATATAAAAGACAAAACTGTACTCTTTAAGACAAAAAAGTGAAAAAACCATTACGAAACAAATTACTAAAGGGTATTTGGGTTTATGATTCACATTCATATCTTTTTGATAGATTTACATTCCAAGCAAACAAATAGAGAGCCGTTTCATTTCATGTCAACAATACACATGATAGATTCAATTTCTTATAACAGATTTCATTCATATCTAAAACATTTTATGAAACATTGAAACCAAACTCCTAAACGGTTTTTCACTTATTTATAAGTGTTGATAAAATATTTATAGTTTAGATATGCACAAAAAGATAGGATTAGCATATACAATACAATGACCGAAAATAATGAGTAAAGAACATATTTTATAAACAATATCTATGAACTAACTAAAACTGGGGAGAAAAAGATTTTTTTGGTCGAATGTAGTAGCTTCAACTTAGGCTATGGTGCGTTTATGTTCATTTTTGTTTGTTTATTTTCATATATGTTTGTTTATGTTCATTTGTGTTTGTTTAATTTCGTTCTTGCATGTGTGTTTAACATCTTAATGAATACGAAGAAGGTAATTTGTTAAATGAACAAACTTGAACAAGAAAAGCTGTTTGTTTAGCCGTTGGTGTTTTTTCTTTTGTTTGGTGAACTTAAACGATCAAAACATGAACAATGTTCTTGTTGTTTCGGCAGCCTCATATTCATTTAGTGAGCAATTCAGGCTTTACCAAATTCTCTCACAGCTTTTGCTAGCAGTTGAAACAGAGTCATCATATATGTACAAGTTGTGGAAGATAATGTGTTGTTTTGACAGGAACGATGAGGCATTTTTCAAGTAGGAACATTTAGAACATCGAATACAAGAATCCATGATTTAGGGTATCTGAGATATTGGATACGAATCCAGTTACCCAAAGTCCTGGACACAGATTCAAATATTAACCTTCCAAATTTCTTAGAATATCCAGATCAGATGAAATCCCCAATATATAATTTTATTTTTCAGTTGTTTTGTTAGTAATGTTTACTTTCCAGAGGTACAAATCAGAAAACGGAGTCAAGTAATAGCTAAAATGGATTGTATTCAAACGTCAATATTCACTTTATTTACTTATAACTGAATTATTACATAACTGTATGATCATAAAATTGTTTTATTTTTTTTGGGGGGGGAAAGGTCATTAAGAATCTAGCAAGAAGGTAGAAAGAACAAATTATTACATAGTAGAAAAAGCTAAAGCAGAGTTTTCGAACTGCTTATTCTACTCCTGTTGTTACAAACTTCATTGAGTTCCAACACAAGCATGTGCTCAAAAACATAATAAGGGATTTAATGGCATATATTAAAAATAATTATGGTATATATTACAAGCCACAAGGCAATAATGCAACATATGTGATTATTCTTGAAGAACAAAGGAACCTTCTATCGGCTTACCTATAGAAAGAGGAGGGAAATTTAATGGAGATAACATATCAACAGAAGCAGAAGTAGATGCAGATGCAGGTCCAGGTGCAGCCTTGAATTCATAAGGACCATTCTTCACTCCCCAAACCTGTAATTATGGAAAAATCACTTAAAAATTCACCTTCTATTATTATATTGAAAAATCATTGTATATATATAATTAATTTTGTTCAAACTAACTTGGTTTCCATCATCATCATAGCCCCTATCCCACATATGAACCTCATTGTTCTTCAAGACTGCCAGTTCTGATGTACAATATGATGCACCATTCTGCAAGGAAATACAAATATTAAATAAATAATGTTTAGAGTCAATTACATAAATGGTCCCTGTGGCATACAGAAATAGGCAACTTTGGCCCAAGTTTTTTTTTTCGTTACCCATGAATTAGGGAAGCCATCGGGTGGTGTTGAACCCTCGTACAAACAGCGTTTCCCTCGTTCACAACGCTTGAGATATATGGTGGTAAGATGTTCCGCTACATCCTACAAGTTTTTTAATAAGATAGTAAATAATTTTGTAAAGAAGTAAATAAATAAAACTTTTGGCTATTATTGCAGAAATAAAAAAGAAAATGACAAATATTTGTGAAATGAATCTTACCCCAATTACTTCTTCAGGCTGTGGACGTTGGTCCCTTGGGCGATCACAAAAGTTCTTGTACTCCTCTGCGTCGCGTATGGCATATGTACTCAACTGTGCACCAACCACCCCCATTAAGTTTTAACTTTTCTAAATGCCCTTTTATGCCATTTTATATCTTCCACCTAGTTTATCAATTACTTTTTACCAATTTGTCGGCTACCTTATAATAAGCTAGAAGCTAGCTTTTCAGCTAGTATGTCAAACATAACCTTAATGGGGAAAAGAAAAGGGAACATGAACTCCGAACACATGGGAATTTGCTGAAATTAGCATCATGTTAACCTTTTCTTTACATTCCTTTCCACTTTGCTAAAAAAAAAAGTTTTGTAATTATTATGGGATGTCTTAGAAAGAAAAACACACACACACACACACACCTCAACATCACATTTCATCTCCTTTGGGCAAGGTTTGACCATACAAAATCTCTGCAATGAGGCAGCTATTAGAAATAATCAACAGATAAATGTACAAGACAACAATGCTAACATGAACAGAGAACAGAAATGTACCTGTCTAAATGGCTTATGGGGAGTTCTCCAAAATGCCTGAGAAGAGTAAATGGAAACACTTCAAATTTGCATAACACTAGAAAGTGAGAAATTGGGAAAATACATATGTTGTAGCCAGTATACTAACTTGCTCGAAATATAGAACCTTCGATCCATCCACCATATCTGCAGCTGGGCAGGAAAGCCATCTACAAAGTCCAACAAAGAATTCGAACTTATCAACAAAGTTTGAGTCTTTCTCAGTTCAAATTCACAACTAATTTGAGTTGTTACTAATTCAATGACCAAAATTTGGCTTTGTTATTCAGTCTGGTAGCTTTTGAAGATGCAGGAATAGATATCAAGCCTAGCACAATGGAACCCCAAACACCCACTAAGCATGCATATTTTCAAGAATTTCGTAACTGATCCACTTATTTGAAAATTTGTAACAGAAACGCAGACGCACACACACACACCCAAATCGAGAAATGATAAGTGGAGAAAGTAATACCTTAAATTAAAGAAATTATCGGGATCTCTGGATGCTTGTTCCTTTGAGAACTGCAAATTGAGTCGAAAATTTTCAAACATTGAAACCAGAACAAACAGAGGATTACTGATACAAATAATCACAAAGCAAAGACAAATTCAACAATAGCATCCTCCGATTTCCCTAAACGTAATCCTGCATATAGCATGTATATCTTCGTGAATTTTGAGCAGTAGAAGAGCGTCATACCTTTTCGCCGGCGATAGATTGAGAAACGATGCGAGCATGGTCCCACCGAGTGGTGGACTTGGTTAATCGCTTAACCAAAAGAGCACCTCCGATCAAAACCAGCGTCTTCACTACTAACCCTCGAGCTCTGCTCCACCCACTTGGTGGTCCCATACACATACCGTGTGTGTGGAAATTCTATATATTATATATGTATCTACTGAGCACTCAATCTAGGGCTTAATTCGATGCAGAAAGAAACTGTGGATAAAAAGGGGGATTGAAATCCAATGTGGAAAAGGAGCCAAGCCAGGCCAGGGTTTCTTAGGGACAGATTTTTGAATGGATTGCGACTGTAATTTCCAGATAACCTCCATGATATCAGTCTTTTATCGTTTCACCGATTCCGTTAGATTTGGTTTGGTTGGGTCAAGATAGAGAGGGTGGTTCGGGTAATTTCAGAAGTGATTATTCGATGTTAGTTAATTAATTTGGGTAATTAGTTATTATATAGTATAATATAATAAAATAGGTTGCTAATACTTAATAATAAGAGTTATTTACAAAAATGAACATTATTGTTCTATTCTTATTCTTTATACCCATATTTTTCTAAAATACAAGGACCCTCAATCCTACAATAAACGGTAAATGTTAATGCAAACTCACGATTGTTGATTCCAAGATCCTCCTTTTAGAATAATATATAATACATATACTCCACTTCAACGGTAAGAACAAAGGAACCATATCATAAAAATTTGGTAATTAATGTTTGTTGACATACATCAAATCACAACAAATGACTATCTTATTACCAAATGGCTCATATCCCAACGGTATCAGGTGTTGTCATCCATCTTTAATGTTGAATGTTCGAGTCCTATCGTGAATATAGGTGGTAGGTTATGAGTAGATTATATTTGCTGGTTCAAAAAAAAAATACAACTGTCTTATTGTAGAATAAACTTTTGGTATTTTCTTTCTTGAAAATGAAGAATCAAGTTTTGTGAATTTATGAATCATGTGTAAGAATATAAACCAAACTCGCCATTAGTTACAATGTTTGTATTTGGTCACAATTATCAAATACTTATATTCTTCATTCCAAGAGTTATAAGTGCCACAATTGGTAATGAGACCAATCAATATTGTTGAAGGCATTGTCACTTGCTTAATTTCTTGGTTTAATCATCTTTGAGATAGTTGCATTCATTAGTATCTGAGTGTTGAACGATCTGGAATCACATAGAATATTAAGGGACAAAGCTTGAATTGGTGACTTCATATCCTACTTTAAACATTTGTTAACCCATTTGCATATATCATATTAAAGACTTCTAGCCCAGTGGTATTTGGTGTTCCCTCCCTCTTTGAGGTTGAGGGTTCAAGTCCCGTCGTAGACATCGGTGGATTTGATGAGTAGTTTAAAAGTAGGTTAAATTTTCCGTTTAAAAAAAAATAGAGATACCATTACTAAAACACAAAAGCCGAGGATTTATGATAGTTGGTCGGTATGTGTATATCACATGACATGATTACTATGTATGAAGTTTTAAGAGTTCATGACTTGAATTTTTCCGGCGTTACTTTCTTGTACATTATAACCCAAAAGCTAAAACAAGACATAGCCTTTACATTTCCCAAAATCAAAGCAGCTTTTCAATAAAAAAAAATCCTTCTTTGATGTGGTTCAAATCACATAACACCATAAACCACAACTTTAAAAAAATGTATCTTTCGCCAATCTACAAAGAATTTGCCACTAATGGCCTCATCCAGGAGCAATGATATCCATACTTTTGAAGGCTTTTAGTAACTTGTAACAAAAGACTCGAAGTAAGGAAAAAACTTCTTTTAAAGCTTAAAGCTTGTATTTTAAACAAAAAACTTTGAATCCAAAAGCCACTTCAATTAACTCTTTTGAGCCTTTAGCTTTTACGAGCTTTTAACTTTTAGATTTTATATAATTTTACAACTATCAAAAGTTTAGAAGTACTTTTGCCGAGCGATCCTATACAAATAAGAATTATGCAAGTTATAACATCCTGCTGCCAACTAATTTTGCTAACACAAACTTTGTAAAGATACTTTTTCTCCAAAATGGTGAAGAATGGAGTTGCAATCGATACCTTTTAACACAACTGAATGTAATTACATCGGAAACAGTTCTTAAAAGATTAACTCTCAACATATAATTACATAACTTTGCTAAAACTTGGGTGCTTTTACAATAACACAAAGAAAACTTAATGAAAATCTCTAAAAATGAGAGTAAATACGTCTCTCAATGTAATTAACCCTAACACACGTTGGGTGGCAGCTTCAACTACCACAACACGCCGCACCCCTGTAGCAAACATGAGAACGTTCATTGATTTATATTATAACATCCTGAATTTTTCTATTACAACATTATACTAAATTTCTTCTTATCAAGGCATTATACTTTGAAAGTTTTACCCAATTATAGCATTGTAATTCCAAATCTTTTTTCTTAGGACAGTGTTCTTAGTTACCCAATTATAACAGAAAAAATTGCTATGTATTTGGATGACATTGCTATAATTGTGTATAGTTTTTTAAGTACAAAGTTGTAATAAAAATAATGAAAATAGGGGTATGCAAAAAAAAAAAAAAAAAAAAAAAAAAAAAAAAAAAAAAACCATAAGGATATTGTTTTGATGTATAAATTTAATAAATCAAGTACGTTAATTATTAAAATAATCAACATGTCTATATGGTTTCCATCGAATATTAAAATAATGAACATATGTGTACATCGTATTGTATTATTTTTCAGTAAATTACTTTTTTCTCTTAAACTTTATCGATATATAGACTGAAAAAAAAATGAAAACTACACATCGGTTTTTTCAAAGTCATAAACCGAAATTTTTGTTCAACTAAACCATCTTCACTCTTAAATGAAAATATGATACTATTATAAACAAATATATAGAGTAGGTTGTTATTTCTTGCATTTAACCCAAATATAGGTTATGATCTGGGGAATACATACCTGGATTTGAAAGAAGAGTTATGACCTGATACAAAGTATCGGAACGTGTACATATCCCAAATCTAGGATGACCTTTTTTATCTACCAGTTGAAGTGCCTGAATTATATAATCAAAATCAGGGTTTGTATAATCTGTTTTCATATTAAAAAGACAAAAATGACCAAAAATTAAAGAATTCCAAAAATAGCCACGATTTTCACACCGGCTAAGTCAAAAACTAAAATGGGCTGCAAAAAAGGCCTTACTGAGATAAGGAATTCTTAAATGGGCTGAGTGCTTGGTCCAGATGCAAAAATCTCCCTTCAGGTGAGATTTGTTGCATTTTTGGAATTGTTTTTTTCTTGGAAAATCATTATAATTTTAGGTCACTTTTGTCTTTTTCTCTATTAAAAATATGTTGTTAAAGAAGAGCATATACTTGAGATATTGTTGCATGATCAAGCTGGATACGAGCATATACATTGCCTTTTGCAAACGAGATGATGTCACTGATTAAATACAAGTTTTAATCAAAATAAACTCTTGTGGATAAATGAAGAAATTTTAATTAACTGTACGAAGTGCATAAATATTACCTTCTCGAGAAAATGTTTACAAGGGCTCCTTTATTATCAACAACAGGCACTGAACTTATATGTTCTGAAGAAGATTAGACAAGAAAAAAATGATATATTTGATTAAAAAATGTAAGTATGTTGGTATTATGGGTAACCATGAATGTAAACGCACCATCTAATAATATTCTGAACGCATAACTAACAAGTTGAGTGGCAAGCAGAGTTAATAATTCCCGTCCCCCAATATCTCTGGTCCAACTACCAACTGGCAGACATCCAATTGGTTGCTGCAGAAGAGGCAAATACCCGATACGGTGTTCAAAATGCCTCTGTATATCTACGTTTTCACAATGGAGACAAAACTTAGAATATTTGGAAATTAAAATTTTGACTTTTGAACAAAAAAAAATACCTACGTTTTAGGACCCCACCAAGGCATGCAACGTGCAGTAATTGTGGGCAAGCTGTATCTTGTGCCATATTTAAGACAGGAACTGATGATATGCGATTGTGCATGATTTTAACTGCAACTGCATTCAGGGTCTCATCTGGATCAACCTGTGTTTACAAAATATAGTTTTCACTTTAATGGATTTAAATTTTAAACAGGGAAGGACTTAATCTGGTAATCTATATATGCTTGTTTCTTTTCGACTTAACCGAATTTGTAATTTTGTCCCTCATTTTTTTTGCCTTCCATTTCCCGTTCGTGCTGTTGATTTCTCAAATATATATATTAAACATCATTTATTTGGACAACACTTGATGGAAAAAAAAAAAAAAAGAGGTCTTACTTTGATTAAAGGCCTTTTTTGAAGCTGAAGTTTTCCTTCCTTCCAAGCAGAGATTGATGATGATTCAAGCACATTATTTGCAACCATTGCATGGTTCCTCTGTAACTGCAATATTATATAAGAGAGAGTAAATTACACGAATGGTCCCTATGGTTTAGGGTAATTTGCACGCTTGGTCCCTAACTTATTTTTTAACTCGGAAGGTCCCAATTGTTTGTTTTTGTTACGCACTTGGTCCCTACTGTTTGTTTTTATTACGCGTTTGGTCCCTGTCTTACCTAAAAAGACTATTATTTAAATAGGGAAAAATTATGAGGTAGGTAAGGTAAGGTGAGGGGGTGGGGTTGGGGGTGTGTTTATTTAAATAAATTAAAAAATCAAGAGAAAAATAGTCTTTTTAGGTAAGAAAGGGACCAAGCGCGTAACAAAAACAAACAGTAGGGACGTTCCGAGTTAAAAAAATAAGTTAGGAACCAAACGCACAAATTACCCTAAATCATAGGGACCATTTCGTGTAATTTACTCTATAAGAGATTATCTTAGGTTTTGCTAAAATGGTTTAGCTATTAGGCTGTATCATACCTCCATTAAAATCAAAATGAAGTCTGTTGATGTTAGCATCCCTGAAATCTGGCGACTGGTGTCATCCCAAAGGGGAGCAACAGCAAGATTCTGAACCAAGAAATAAAAATGATAAATTATATGAAGAGATTCAATAAACTAAAATCTTGAACTTGAAAGTGAAAATGAGAAATAAGTTGAATAACAAGTTGTACCTCTTCATGCATAACAAGGAAAGCCTCTTCCACACTCACATTAGCATCCAATGCAAAGACCTTTGAAAGTCGAAGAAGAATCACAATCAGAATAGTCAAATGGCATGCATACACTGTGTAAATGCAAACAGACATGTGAATGAAGGCATTCGAACCTTGCCTGAATCCGGAATCAAATCATACACTGTGCAAGATGAAAGATGATCAGACAAACAATGGCGGGTTGCCTCTATGTCTTCAGCCCTTAATGGCATCACAAGTTCATGAGGAAGAACACTGCTTGATGTTGAAGCCTAAATTGTTGTGATTTGTTAGGGTTTAGGAGACTTTGAAAAACGATAACACGATTTCACAGACATGTAATAAAAGAGTGAGAACAAAATACATGGGTGCTTACACCATCAGCAGGATTATGATCATCCAAACTATCAATATCCATAATTGGTACCCCATCATCAATGATCAATGTCTGAGGCATAACCTCTGGTTGTTTGACCAGAACAATGTTGTTTACTCCATACTCATCTTCAGCAAACAGTTGTTGCTCGTTGATTCTCCATATGCCATCCACCAAGAACTTATACTTCATTCAACATTCAATACATCAGAATTTTATTAAGGAAATAGGAAAAAGTTCAAAAAAAATAACGACTTGTATTATGTCATGATGCTTAAAAAAACCATTATATTATTTTTGTGTTCATAAAAACCATTATATTTTCTGATTTTGGCTAAATTAATGTTTTGCAACCAGATAACTCAAGAAAACCCGTTGCATGGCCTATGTGTAACTAAAAAGAAGATTACAATATTACATAACATTATTAATTACCAGAAACTGTAATTGCTGTTACATTGATTGCTACTATTTTGCCAAAAACTATAACACGTCTCTAAAAAGGCTATGCAACCGGTTTTCTTGGGTTATCCAGCGTTAATTTAACCAAAGTAAAAAATATAATGTTACATAAGGATTTTTTAGCATCATGCGGTAAAGCATAGAGTTTTTCAGAACTTTTCCTTAAAAAAAAAAAAAAAAAACTTAACATGCACTAATGTCAAGAAACTCTCTAACCTGATCATACCTTATGCAAACCAGGTGGTAGATCGCAAATCGTCGAGAAAGTCGAAGACGATCCTTCAACAGGAACCATCGGTTGATACTTGATCCACCTTCATTCACCACCAATTGCATTGTAATTTAGTGTGTTGCAACAAAATTATCAAAAGAAAAACTAAAAATTAATAACATACCCAGTAAAATCACCGCACAGGAACACTTGATTGCCACCATGAGACCAAATAAACTGTGTATGAACCATTCTTCCGCAAAATTTACCTCACTCTAACACTGTAAACGTATGCTTTGGTTTATGAGAATATCAATTGATCAACTGAGTTTACAAAACACATATCGAAAAACTGAATACCGGAAGGAACCAATAAGAGAAAAATAAAATTGGGGAAGAAATAAGGGTTCAAAAAAAACCAAATCTTTATGTAGATCCTGGCGGCAAAACTTAAAGATATACATTACATGCATATACATAGAATTGCTGTGCGTATCTGTATCTGTATCTGTATGTAGAAATTAGGGGAGAGCGACTCAAGTAAGAACATAATCGCTTGGATTTCTCAGAGCCGTAGAAAACAGCTGCCGAGAAACAGTACATAAATTCGCATATGTATAATGTATATGTTGTAAAAAAAAAAAAAAAAAAAAAAAAAAAAAAAAAAAAAAAAAATTATATATAGAGTAAATTAAACTTTTAGACCCTATGGTATATAATTTTCTCCGGGTTTGGTCATTGTTTTGGATATTTAACATCACTGGTCGTCATGGGTTCAAAAAAACCAGCATCATATAGTTTGTTAGTTTGACACTTTCACAGTACTAGTAAACACCATATCTTGGATGCGTTTTAAGGCTAAACGGAGTGGTCTCACTAAAACAATTCGCCAAGCTCGTTATGGGTTGATGAACACCGCCCCCTAGCACTCGCTAGGGGGCTCGCTATATTAATGTCGTTAAGAATTTGGCTAGAGGGAAGACAAACTTTTGTGCAAGGTGATTGGTCCGTGGGTGTTTGACTGGAATACAAAAATGTTGACTGAATTGAATTGGAGGTTACAAACCGTGCAACTTTTTTTGTAGTTTCTAGTAATTAATAAATGGTATTTTTAATGAATGCCAAGCCAATTTCATGCATATATACACGTAATTGCATCAGGCTTACTACCAAACTTTTTTTTAATTTCCTAAACAATTAATATATTTAATACTAATAAAACAAATGTGAAAACCATTGCTAATTCAATTGAATTTAATTGTTAGAATTTAATTTCAACAACTTATTTACCAATTTATATTAAAAATAAAGTAATTTAATTAAATTAGAAAAAAAATGCTAAGAGTGTTACCACTCCCTACTATATTATTTAATATTAAATAAAAAATATTTGTTTATTAAAATAAAGTAATTAAATTAAATTACAAAAAGTAAATACAAAAAAATATATTTATTAAAATATAGAAATTAAATTAAATTAGAAAAAAGAAAATACAAAAAAAATGAGTGTTAAGAGTGTTACAACTCCTTACCATATGTTAAATGTGGGTGTTAAAAAGAGAAAAATGATGTGGCATTTAAAATGCTTATGTGGCAATGTGTCAAGAGTGTCGTCACTCCTCTTAGCCTAAGTGAAAGACTTCACTGGTTCCTCATTATCACACTCTCTTTCCTTTTTATTCTTTTTTAGTTTTTATAATATATAATTAAATTATATATATACTAACAAGTTATATAAAACATATTAAAATTTATGGGTCTTTTTGGTAAACGAGGAAGCCTCATCTCCATTAAAATTTTATTAATTAAAAATAAATAAATACAATTATCCCCACCTATGAAAAAGAAAAGGACCCTTGGGATAAGCCCTAAGAACCATAACAACTTAACTAACTAAAATACAAACAAAGTGGAAAGAACATTATTTGGATCTCAATATAAAGCAAAACCAACCACAAATAAAAATATAAGAAACAAGCATTGGACACAAAGTCGGGTGCTAAGTGGCAATATCTTCATTCTTCATAGGAGCCTCCAAAAGATCTTGACTTTAGCAATTGTAACACCACTCGTTGTGGTCTATCTAAAATACCATTTTTTTAAAACATGATCTAAATATTTTAAAGTTCAAAAGTTTTTAGCGTTTCATACTAAATGTGGAAAAGTTCAACGGCTCTAGAAGTTAGAATAAAAGTTTCAAAAGAGCAAGGTTGTTAATTAGGTATCATAACAAAGGTTCAAGTTCTTCACAAGTCGGGGTCTTCTAAAATCCATACAATCTCATATGCTCATTATTCTTCAATCCGAACACACATCAAAATAAGTTAGGCATTGAAAATGTCTAGTGAGTTATCCGATGTTGATTCATTTAGAGTAAAAGATAACAATCTACTTACTCGAATCAAAACCCACAAAAAAATTTAGAGTAAAAGATGGAGGTTTCGATCTAGCTCATCAAACCATTATGCGGTTCATGCATGCCATCAATCCTAATAAATCAAAATTAAAATACACGGAAAAAATTGCTTTTTTTTTGCATGATTGTCGCATCAAATCATATATGTTGATAACTTAGGTGTAATCACATGGGTGCATTAATTTTGCTTAACATTCTGAAACTTTAAAAGATATATAGTGCATGCATAGGAGTTTAAAATAATGTATTCAAATACTTGTAACAAAATCTAAATGTCATCATAATAAGAAATCACCTCTATTAAACTACTAAACTACTAGGTGTAGACAAACGTGTGAAGGCTGAAGGCATGTTACCACACCAAAAAAATGTCACCTCACATGTCATGTCATTAATGGTGTTATAACACCAAGTGAAGGAAATGGGCAACATGTTATAACACTCACTAGTTTCCATGTCATTATTTTTTTCCCTTTTTTTTTCTTTTTTCAATTTATATATTGTCGGTTTATTTATTGTTTATTTTTCCAATTTGTTTTTATTTACGTTATATTATTTAAAAAAAATGCAATTTAATAAAATCCTAAATTACCCATAACATTTAAAACCTAAAAATCACATTACAAAAAAAACAATAAAAAAAACATAGTCCTACGTTAAAAACATAAAAACGATACATTAGTCATCCAAGTATTTCTTTCTGATCCTCTCATTCATCTTTCGGAGCACCTGCACTTGTCTTGGTCCCATATTTTCTTTGCTAGTATGAAGAATTGTTAAATCTCTCGTTATTTGATTTTCCTCATCTTGCTTACGAAGGAACTCCAAGTGCTCACGTTGCACTTCAACCTTTTGTTGTGCGATTAGATTGTGTTGGTCGAACTTTTCTTTCATTTCCGCCAACTTTTGTGCCCTTCTATCGTCTTTGTCCGCGTGTCGTTGATCGTACTTCGCTTTGTTGCACCCGAACGGTCGTCGTGGTGGGGGGGGTCTCTTAGATGTCGTCGGGGATGTCATCTGTGTCAGCGTTGAAGTCGATGTTAGTTCATATATCAGAAACGTCAAACGAACCCGAACCACACGACCTCTTCGATTGTACCTCCAACGATGGTGGATGTTTAAGCCATTTTGGATCGGCTCTCACAATCTCTCATATTTTGGCATACTCGAAAACATGACCCATTTCCACTTGATATTGCTCCCTCGCGGCTTTGAACACATCAAAATCATTCGCACCACTTTGCTTTTGCGAAGAAAGTTTGTTGTAGATCAAATTAAACTTGGTGCACCTACGACTAATTGGAGTCCATTTGTCACTAAGCATATCGACATTGCGATATGTCGGTCTCTTTATAAGTGCGTGAAACTTTCCTAGCACGACTTCCCAAAATCCAATTCCCCTTATATGATTTCCTATAGTTGGATTTTTAGAAGTCCCGCACCACGTCACCACCAAGTTGTACTCCTCCTATGGTGTCCGCCATAATGGAGCTTTTTCTTCACTTTCCACTATTGCTTTCCCTTTCTTTTTCCCTTTCCCTTTAGCTTTCCGACTACCTCCCGCTTGCCTTTTAGGAACCGTTTCTTGCGTTGGTTGTGTGGGTGGTGGTTGTGGCATGGAAGCGAAAGTATTGAAAATGTTTTGTTGAAGGATTGGGTTTTGTTGCTGTAACATCCCAATTTTCAAGGCCAAAAATTTCATTTTTAATTAAGTGACTCATGAAATAGTTTATCAAAAACATTGCCAATGTCATATCAATTTATAAAACTGTAACTAAGTGTCTCAAAACCATATCACCAACAGTAATAAAAATCAGAGTACAATCCCAGAAAACTCGATGCGGAATCATGTGTGAGTGTGATGTGCCGCTACCGCGCCTGCTCTTTCCCCTTCGTCGAAGAGGTACCTGAAACAAAACTAAAAACTGTAAGCACGAAGCTTAGTGAGTTCCCCCATCATACCACACACCATACAATCTCATAACAAAACATACTGTCGGGCAATTATGGGGTGCCCGACCTACCCGGTCCGGCCATTCTGGGATGCCGACCTACCCTGTCAAGCAGTTCTGGGGTGCTGACTTACCCATGTCAAGCCATTCTGGGGTGCTGACCTGTGACATCCCCATTTTCACGGCCAGAAAAGACCGATTTTGTTTATGCTTTATAAAAATCAGAGTACCACTTTTAATAAAAAAATGTTGCGGAATTTGTTCCCAGAAAAACATGATAAATACGTTATCAAAGCATTTCCAAAGAAATGTGTTGAGAGAAAAACTTGGAGACACACTTGAACAAAAGTTAGAACAAGTATAATGCGGAATAGTTAATCTCAAAGGATCTAAAAGCTCAACAATAATATAGTTAGATAGTTAAAGAGTTAGTTGCGGAAATGTAAAGGAGTGGAAATGACAGCAATTGTTATATCAAGAGGACACTTAAGCTGATTCATAACAAGGAATGCATTCACTCCAAGTTAATAAGGAAGATCAAGCTTAGTGATTAAGTCTTAAAGACTTGCTCTGAAGAGAGATTATGATCAGCAGAATTATGATAAGATTTAAGTAAGAAGAGATGAGTTGAAGAAAGATAGAGAGATAACTTCAGAATGTGTATTCAGATATAATTCATAAGTTATCGGTTCTTCCTATCTTTTTATCTCTATGAATACAAAGAGAGTAAGTCTCTATTTATAGAGACTTAGAAACTACACTAGATTACAACTCAATAAGCAACCGTGCAAGGCATACTGGATAATAGAGTGTATTACATAAAAGACAAATAACGTAATCTAGCTAAGTTGACTGCGGTAGCTGACTCCGGTTGCTGATGCGGTTGCTGATGAACAAGATTGACTCCGGGTGCTGAACCGTTGCGGTAGAAAGATGGTTGCGGTAGCTGAGTTCAAGAGGGTCACTTTTATGATTCAACAATTTCCCCCTAAGTGACCTCTTTAACTCCGGTTCAGCTATCAAGTTTGAGGAACTTGATCAAAATACACCAGAACTTCCTGACGTTTTCCAACCATGTGATTCTTCTTGTGATCTCGAACTTGACTTCTGCGGTAGTATGCTTAGATCTTTCAATTGCAGTCAGGCAGATGTCAAGGTGTTTCTTGGTCAGGCGGTGTATGGCAGTCATAGGAATGAAATATTTGACGTTGTCAGTC